TTTTCAGTTTGTCATTCATGTCATGTAGTACAACAATAAAGTACATAGTGGATTTATGATGAAATATGTTATTTTATTTTATTTTTATTTTAAATAAATTTCTGATTCCTTTCCTCAAACTACAGAAAAAACCCAAAGCTGCAGCTCCTCCTACAGGTTCTGAGCTGCAGCCGGACCCCCCTCAGCCCACCCCCAGCTCCGTGTCCTTCCTGGACAACGCTGTCCGCATAGAGGGGCTTTCTGACGACGAAGATGTGGACATCACCGATGACCTGAGTGAGGATGAAGGAGCAGACACCGGGCCACAGCAGCAGACAGACGCTGGGACTGAACCAGACAGTCCCTCAGAGGAGCAAACAGAACCGGGCCTGGCTTGGACTGAGAGCCAGGACCAAAGCTCTCCTCTGCAGACGCCTCAAAGTCTGTCCTCCATGGTTTGCACTGAGGAAGCTGGAAAACCAGAGCAAGATGAGACAGTTTTAGAGGATGATGATGCAGATGATGGTGGAAGCTCTCAGGATGATGCTGATCCTCCAGGTGCAGCTGAGTGTGAACCCACAGGTGAGCCACGGTTACACAGCTCTTATTTTAACCTGTAACTGTTAAATGTACTGACTGTTGTACCTGTTTGTGCCTCACAGATTCTGTTGGTAAGACTGAGGAGGACAAAGTAAATAAAAACCAAGAGGAGGAGGAGGAGGAGGAGGAGGAGGTCAAGGCGCCTGAGCAGGAATTAGAAATGGACACAGAAAGGATCAACGAGGATGAGAAACAAGCCATTCCTGAGTTCTTTGAGGGACGACCGTCAAAAACCCCAGAAAGATATCTGAAGATTAGAAACTACATCCTGGATCAGTGGTAAATATATAAACTAGATGTATCAACATCAACATCTGTTGACGTCTGATATAGATCACTACGGGATCAATCTTGTGCCAGCAGGAACTGAATTTGAATTGTTCAGATTGAATCTGAACGTTCATAATTTGAAGTAGAATGCATTGGTTTGAAATAAATTTCACTAAATTGAAACTGAATTTAAAGTTTTGAAT